GAAGTACAAGGGGAGTTTTCTCTGAGTTAAGGACCAAGGTTTTCTACATCCAAAGGGATTGAAGAATCAGACTGCTTCCATGCTTGCCGGACCCCTCCCCTCTTCATTAACAGAGAATTCCATCAATAAATCATCTGTTAATGAAAAGGATCATACGGCCTCAACAAGCACACAAAAATTTCCTCTATCAACAATCCCTCCATTTTCAATATGGTTAAAGCAAATTCAGTCATCATCGAGCAGCTCCAGTCAATATTTCTCTGGACAAAAGCATTTAGAGAGAGATAATTAGAGATAAAATAAGGGAAAGGAAAAGGCCTGAAAGATTAAACTAGATAAAAGCATTTAGAGAGAGAAAGAGCAAGAGAAAATGTGGAACCTACGAGAAAAGCGAGGGTCCATGCAAAGAGATCAAGACTCTCGTGTCCATTAAAGTCCCAAAATTAAGAATTAATGTAGCATCTCTTCATATGAATCGCAGCGAAAAACACCATTACTGCGATTACGATCAGACGAAGAGTGCGATAAATAAAAGTGAGAATTTCCATCAAAAATTTGCGAAAAAAATTCGAATGAAGATGAATCGTTGTTAAAAACACCATAGATAGCATCAATTTACAGGAAAAAGCAAGGAGAATGTTGGTAAAATAAAGCGAAAATCAACCTGCAGAGAAAATGGAAATAACATGGATGGAATGCGGGGAGGAGAAGGGCATGAGCGCCTCGACCTTAAAAAGTTTTTTGGAGAACGGAAAGAGAAGAATTAGGGTTTCTCTTTGCCCTAGGATGGACGGCTTAGATAGTGCTGGTGAAAGCAGTCAGTAAATATGGGCTTGGGCCTTCTTGGTTTATTGGATGATGAATGTAACACTATATCCCGAGTTTGATTCCTACCGGAAATACAAAAAAGGAGTGTACAAGCAGATTTGTACTTGAAAAAATTCATTCTGAGCAGAGATGTACGGCCTAACAGGGAAAAAGCGGGACAGAGGGAAAAAGAAATGGGGCAGTACAACAAAGAAAAAATAAAAATAACATGATTACATAAATGAAAATTTAAGACAATTGAGGGACTTCAAAGTATAAACCTTCGGGGTGATACTACAATTAAAATAGAAAATGATATACATGCAGTATGCAAAACTAAAAAGAAGACATTGGTTAATTGGATGACGAATATAGCACTCCATCCCAAGTTCGACTCCCACCTGAACTACAAAAAAAGGAGCGCACATGCTGATTTGTACTACAAAAATTTCATACGAGACGAGATGTACAGCCTGACCGGGAAAGAGAGGGAGAGAGGGGAAAAGAAATGGGACAGTACGACAAACAAAAAGTAAAAATAACATGATTTCATAAGTGAAAATTGAAGCCAATTGTGGGACTTCAAAGTTTCAATCTTCAGGGTGAAACTACAATTCAAATAGAAAACGATATATACGCAGTATGCAAAACTAAAAGGAAGACATTCGTAATGTCATTATTTACCTGGGATATATAAAGGTAAATTTCTCTAAAAGGAAGACATTCGTAATGGCATTATGTACTTGGGATATATAAAGGTAAATTTCTCTAGGTGGGGTGTTCATAATCATATTCTTACAAGGAGAAAATCATCAACCATTTATGTTTTGGCATGATAATCAACCAAAATTAAATCATTTTCTACACTTCCAAAATCCATCTTCGAGATGGACTTCATATCTAAAATTCTACACATTTATCACCACTACAAGCAAATGATACTAACAAAAAAAAAGAATTTTAACCATTAAAACTGATTTATTTTGCATTCTTTCATGGTATTAAGCTACCAGCACCCAGCAGAAAACTAACAAAATGAAAAAAAAACACGAACATTTTACCAGAAATACAGGGGGAGTTTGCTCTCAGTGAAGCGCCAAGGTTTTCCACATCCAAAGGGATTGAAGAATCAGACTGCTTCCATGCTTGCCAAACCCCTCTCCTCTTCATTAACACAGAATTCCATCAATAAATCCTCTATTAATGAAAAGGATCATACGGCCTCAACAAGCACACAAACACTTCTTCCATCAACAATCCCGCCATTTTCAGCGTGGTTAAAGCAAATTCAGTCATCACCGAGCAATTCCACTCAATATTTCACTGGGCAAAAGCATCTAGATAGAGATAATTAGAGAGAAAATAAGGGAAAGGAAAAGGGTTGAAAGATTAAACTAGGTAAAAGCATTTAGAGAGGGAAAGAGCAAGAGAAAATGTGGAACCTACGAGAAAAGCGAGGGTCTGTAAAAAGAGATCAGGGCTCTTGTGTCCATTAAAGTCCCGAAATTATGAATTAATGTAGCATCTCTTCGTAGGAATCGCTGTTAAAAACACCATAAATGCGATTATGATCAAAGGAAGAGTGTGATACATAAAAATGAGAATTTCCATCAAAAGCTTGCGAAAAAAATCACATGAAGATAAATCGTTTTTAAAAGCACCATAGATGTCTTCGATTTAGAGGAAAAACTAAATAAAAACGAAAATCAACCTGCAGAGAAAATGGAAATAACATGGATGGAATCCGATGAGGAAAAGGGCATGAGTGCCTCAACCTTATAAGGTCTCTTGGAGAACGGAGAGAGAAGAAATTAGGGTTTCTCTTTGCCCTAGGATGGACGGCTTAGATAGCGTTGGTGGAAGCAATCGGTAAATATGGGCTTGGGCCTCATTGGTTTATTGGAAGATGATTGTAACACTGCATACCGAGTTCGATTCCTACTTGAACTACAAAAAAGGAGCATACATGCTGATTTGTACTCCAAAAATTTCATATGAGCAGAGTTGTACAGCCTGATGGGGAAAGAGAGGGAGAGAGAGGAAAAGAAATGGGATAGTACGAGAAAGAAAAAGTAAAAATAACATGATTTCATATGTGTAAATTGAAGACAATTGAGGGACTGCAAAGTTTCAATTTTCAAGGTGAAACTACAATTAAAAGAGAAAAAGATATACATGCAGTATCCAAAACTAAAAGGAAGACATTTGTAATGGCATTATTTACCTGGGATATAGTGGTAATTTCTCTAGGTGGGGTATTCATAATCATATTTTTACAAGGAGAAAATCATCAAACTTTTTATGCTTTGGCATGATAATCAACCAAAATTAAATCATTTTTCGCCCTTCCAAAATCCATCTTTGAGATGGACTTCGTATCTAAAACTCTACACATTTATCACTACTACAACCAAATGATACTAACAACAAAAAAGAATTTTGAGCATTAAAACTGATCCATTTTGCATTTTTTCATGGTATTAAGATACCAGCACCCAGAAGAAAACTAACAAATTGAGAGAAAACACGAACATTTTACCAGAAGTATAGGGGGAGTTTGCTCTCAGTGAAGGGCCAAGGTTTTCTACATTCAAAGGGATTGAAGAATCAGACTGCTTCCATGCTTGCCAAACCCCTTTCCTCTTCAATAACAGAGAATTCCATCAATAAATGCTCGGTTAATGAAAAGGACCATAAGGCCTCAACAAGCACACAAACAAAATTAGTTTGATTTGTTTGATTACACAAAGAATCGCTGTTGATTTTGCCAAAATACATCTTGATACATTATATGGTTTTCTAAGTAATTACTTTTAAATTAATTTACTAAATAAAATTAGGAATAATTTAAAAATAAAATTAGAAATTTCGGAAAATAAGGCTCTTGATACATACAGTATGAGAAAATATATTTTTTTTCAATTTTTTGTAATGATATTTACTTTTATCTCATGAATTTATAATTTTAATAAAAAAAACTCGTATGTTTCAATTTTATCTTCAATTTTTTTTAATGCAATAAAATGTAAACTCTCTGCATGTATGTTTTTCTATTTTAACGTCATGAGAGCTGAGCTTTTGTGGTATAATATGCTATTTGTTGAGAATATGTCAGTATTTGTCGTCGACAGTGTCATCGGTAGTGAGTGAAGCACTACAAATGTGAAAGTGGCCTCCACAGTAACGCGAGCAATACCAATCCCTTTTGGCTACCCTATCTGCCAAATCATTAGTTTCCCAATAGATATGACAATATAAGCAACCAATAGAATCTCTCCAAAAAGAGGAGCTCTTCCATTACCTCAGCCATCTTCCACAAATTACCAGTAGTCCTAATAACACTGAGATAATTGCTCTCCACTAGTAGAGGTCCCAAGAGGAAGAAGTAAATGCTCTCAATCTGTTAGAACCATAGCCTCACGAACAAAGCCAGAAGGTCCCAAACAATAAAAATAATAATAATAATTAAATCAAAGACATGTTTGTGTTATCTCGGAACATCACCCAGGCCTTTGACCATAGGTTAATGAAGTCCATCAAAGTTCAGCTCTGTAAATTCAGCTGGTCTCCAAGTGTTACATTGTATGGGGCCTACAATCCCATTGATTAGAACAGTGAGCCATTTCGAGACAATCTCATGCTCGGACACCAGGAAATTCAAAAACTAAAAACACATGCATTAGGAGAATTTCACCATAAAATCACTTGTTATGATATTCAGAAGAGTCTAATTCAGAAGTAAGAGCTCTCACTCCCAAGAATGCAGAAGTCAGAAATGACACCCATTCAACCACATTTCCATCATAAATCTGGCTCAACTGCAAGACGAACTTTCTTATATCTAACATGCTATGGCTTCTTCACATAAAATCATGTGGCAGATGAAAATAAACAAAACCAAGAGAAACTCAAAACCCAATAGCAATGAAAAGCTTTAAGGGAACAGCAGTGGCCTATTTTAGGCTTATAATTTCAAAACCTAAATATCAAATGGAAAAGCAGCATGTACTGCCATGATTCTGTGGCATTAAGAGAGGTACTACAACAGAATTATATTTTGAGGAAATAAGATAGACTCTACCAATCATGTAAATTTATCCATAGTTAACAAGAGCAGCTTCTGAAAGTTTATCAGAAAACAAAACTAAAATAAACCTACAACAAGTTAAGCATGCAGAACTCTGTATCTTCACCTGTTAAAGCAAGTGTGTGAGCAGCTCCACAAGCAACACGCACAAAATGCAAATCACGAGTTCCCTTGACGATACGAGGTTGAATCACATCAACAACATCAATCGCATCCTTGTGTCCCAGTTGACCAAACTCAGAAGCACCCCAGGAGACCACAGCACCCATATCTAAAATGATAATGCATTATCAAAAAATGTAACGGTTGCAACAAGTAATAACATATGTGATCAGAAATGAATCCATATTCAAAAATCAGTTTAAGTAGCTACATGATCAGAACCAAAACATTTCCTAGCTCCCTGTACATGCCCATGTGTTTTCCTAAGAATGCTAAAATTTTCTAAGAACAATCAAACTCTATAGGTACACACTTAAATACAACTAGAATCAAGAAATCTTCAAAGGAATATAAACAGTCTGTGGTACCAGTAACAGCAACTGTATGAGCTTGACCACAGGCAACATGTGAAATCCGATAAATATCCAAAGAAGATACTCGCATAGAAGATAATTGTGATTCTCTCGACCGAACGCCAAGTTGACCAGAGTCATTGTTCCCAGTCATAAATAAATCACCTTCTCCTAAAAGTCAAATCATGACATTAGTTCATTACGAAAATCCCAAAAAAAACAAAGGCCAAATAAACTAAATTTGCAAACAGGAAAGTGTATATTTTCATTTGAAAATAAAAATAAAGGTTATTTTATCCCAAAAAATAATAATAATAATGAAAGAAAGTCCAAACTGGTATGTTAAAATGACACCCATAATTGATCCACATTTTATAAATTTATCAAATTCAATCCTCACCAGTTAGAAATGCAGTATGAAAGTCATTGCCAGACACATGAACAATACTTTTGTCAGACAAAGATTGAATGCATGTTGGGAAGTCACGTCCAGCATCATCACCAAGTCCTAGCTGCCCATAGTCCCCTCTTCCCCATGCAAAAACTAAAAAAGCAAAAGATATTAAACTCCTCAAGTTTCAAAAGACATAAAACTCCTCAGATTTATCAAAATCTATAAAAATAACACCTTGCAATCTTTAAACCAAGGGAAATTACCCATGAAAGTGAACTATTCACTATTTTACTCAATTGCAACTATTCCAACTCATGGTAAATCAAAAGAGCTGGTGCGAATGTTAAATAAGTTCATCTCTAATGGGTATTTGCATAAATTTCCCTTGTACCAATTATACCATGCCACTATAAGGCTCCTCCTGTTACATCTTCATAATGTTATTCAACCTTTAGAAAACATTCTTTTAACTCCAAAATGCCATTTTAATTAAAATAAGAAAATAAAACAGAAGATTATACTTCTATGGTATAAAATATCTAAGAACATACAAAAACATAACCCTGTTAAGGGCTATGAAGTCTCAATAACAAAGAACTCTTTATATGACGAATTTCTTCGGGCTGCACAAAATTCAAAACCCACAGGCCATATGGACTTGCATAAAAGTGATACTTCGTGAAGCTGCAGAGGACCACAATGCCTCCCCCACCACTCTCTCTTCCCCGCCATCTTTAAGCATCCAAATCTCCCATACTCGTTGTTCTTGACCACAAGCCATTGCCCTATGATAACTCAATAATCAATCAAGAATTTGGGGAAGGTACCTCAACTATGGCCGTCACAAGCAATGCAACAGTTCTGAAATCCCTTTTGGCACACGTACCATGACAAGTAACATGTCCCATGTATTTGCTTTTAAAATAGCCAATTCACACTATTAAAATGAAATGTATAACATAAATGAAAACATATACTCAAAAAACAAGTACTAAGGACTGAGATCAATGGACAGCACACCATGCCAAAACAACTAGAACGAAAATGGAAGCTATCAAAGCATAAAAGAGGAAAGCCAGCTAGAACAAGAAATCAGTGTCAGGATCTTCACTTAAATACGTGAAAGTAGGATAATGTGATCTAGCCAAGTATATACAGTTATAATTTTTCTTTTCTTTTTTTTATTCATCTAGAACACTTACAGGTATCCAAAATTACAGTGTTATTCACAAAATGTACCGTAATATAATCTAGGATCTTCTCTTGCATATCATTACAATTCTTTACACTTAAACAAAAATACAATGCATGAAGAATCAAGAAACATGAAGCCATTAAAATTACCGAATAAGTTACCTTAGGTTACCCTCAAGGACTTCGTACAACCCACACCAGGTCTCCTCCACCAATGGCACACGGGCTCTTGGTCCTAACCTTGTCTCATAATTTGGGAAGCCTAGGCAAAACCTCTTGCGATCATGACATGGGATGCAAGCAATCGCATTGCACAAGAGAATAACACAACCACCATCTAGTCGAGGGTATGCTACCCTCTAGTGGCTTGGGCGTGCCCCTTAGAGTTTGCTCTACGCTTAAAGCAATTCAAAACCCTACCTAGAAGAGAGAAATAAGAGAGAGGGAGAGAGTGGGGCATACCTGACAGAAGCCAATCCAATTTCACATATGTAGAGAATACACCCTCATAGAGAATATTTATAGAGAGGAGGCAAGGGTTTTGGGGTCCAGGGTTTAGCCATCATTATGAGACTTAATCTTAACCATAGATCTTGGAGACCTGTGGGGTGCAGGGATTATAGCCCTTCATTCTTTAGATCAGCTATCATGATTAGTGGAATGAGCTAGAACCATTATCCCTCAATCTCCATAACTCTATTCCCATCAAATATTTGTGTAGAGAAAACACTATGTATTTACAAATCTAGTTTCAATCAATCTCTACACCTTCCTATTTCAAATCAATCAAACTTATTCCAAAAAGTCTTCCTTTTATTTTCAAAGCAAGTAGATGGCTTCCATCACAAGCTACACATTAAAAGGAAAGAAAGAAATATGTGGGGCGTCCCACAAATAGTGAGCTATGTAGGCCCCATGCCCCATGCCCCACGCCCCCCACCCCCACGTAATGGGTTTAAAATGGTGGGCCCAAAGTTCCAATGGGCCCCCACACCCTAAAAAGAATTTTTGATAAATAAAAAGATTTTTAGAAAACCAGTAAATATTTTTTCCCTCTAAATTAAATAAATCCAGGAAATTAATTTTTCCATATTTAAAAATCCTTTACTAAAATAAAATATCCAGAGAGATCTAAAAATTCAAAATTATCTAAAACATAATTAACATATAAGTAAACATATTTAAGAAGATTTGACGGGAATTGGATCCAAGGAGTTAAGAATATTAGAAATATACTTAAGACTACATCCCTTCTGAAAACTGCATCTCACTGTCATTTTCTCAAACCGACCCAACAGTTTCATGACCCACAGCGCTTCGTAAGGATTCATACTTGGACTATCAAAGTCAGCCAATAAATAAAGCATAATTGATCCTAGCCTGTAGATTACGGGTTCCTCCCTAAGGAGAAGTCTTGGCCCCATTCTAACACAATACCTCATAGGCCCTACCAACACAGTCTAGTATTGTAAGGAGACATCTCTTCAGCACATGTACACAACATACAACCTCACCCAAATGGCTGCTTCCTAGAAGTTATCTAGTGTACATGATGTTCGATGGTAATGATGATGGTTTTGGTCCTTGTCCTCTCCAACCAATCACCATACACAGGGATCACACCCAGTCCCCTGGCTGACCAGCCTATGCCCAACTCCAACCTCATCAAGAGACAACCCCAAATCAAAACCCTTATCAGTTGTGCACAAATGCCTAGGGCTATGGGTTTTTAGGCATCAACCAGAACTATAGCCCGTCAAAACTCAGGTGAGTCATGGCATCAGCGATGCCCCACAATCCATCCAGACTATGCTCCCACATGAGCTATCACATCACTATAGTCATAGTCTTACATGCTCTCATAGGGCCTTTAAATGGCCACATAACCCCAACAATACGACATAAGACGAGGTCCGAATGATAATTACACAGCTTAGTTGTAATTTCAGCAGGTCCTGGTTGTCACCTCAAAGTTAACTTCACATAACCAACAATTAAGCATGAGTGCGGTATATTAAGTAGTCCAATCCTTCCTCGTGTATGATTGCTTGACTTCTCAAACAAGGGAAGGAAATTTATATCAGGTAGTTGATTATACAATATTATTAAGTCTTCCATCTACATGGCTGCTTTGAATATTACCACACATGAAAGTGTTACCAATTCATGTATTAGTTAGAGAAACTTCAGGCATTTCCCCTAGATTGTGGCACATAAATGCATACATGAACACACGTAACAAGGAAACACAAATACTTTTTTGTTTTTGAATTGTATTAATTTTCAATACAAGTGCCCCCCACATGCATGCAAACACACATATAATGGCTGATGGAATAGAACACACCCAACAGCCTAGATTGAACGCGAGTGGATCATATAGTCAGCACTGTGACTAAGTGTTTGACTCATAACTTTTTTATGAATCCAATATGACCTGAAATTTTTAGGGCAAGTACCACACACAAAGATGAACCAAAAAAATATAAAAAATAGTACGATAAATTCTAAATGGCAAAAATACCAAACGAATGTGGCTAGGGCTGGTCACTATAAACTTTGCAATTCTTTTTTTGTGCACATTAGTGAAGTGCATATGTCCCCAAATTTCAGGCCAAACGAATATATATATATATATATATATAAGGATGCTCTTGAATCTAATTGTTTTAAAATTAGCCGGACTAAGACAAGTATATGGAATGCAAGTTTAATAATAATATGAGCAGAGACAAGGAAGTAGTTAATAATGATAGCCAAAAAATACCAAAAAGAGCGCATTTTCAATATCTTCAGTCGACAATTCACAAAAATAGAGAGATTAAGGAAAATATCGCACGTAGAATTAAAGCTGAGTGGGCAAAGTGGAGATGTGCAACCGCAGTTTTATGTGATCGTTGCATACCAATGAAGCTGAAGGGGAAGTTCTATAGGACAGCTGTGAGATTGGCTTTGCTTTAAGGGGCTGAATGTTGAGAGGTCAAGAAACAACATAATCATAAAATGAGTGTAGCTGATATGAGGATGTTAAGATGGATGAGTGGCAAGAGAAGAAGGGATAGATTTAATACATTAGGGAGAACTTAGATGTGGCTCCAATAGACGACAAGATGAGAGAAAGTAGACTTCGGTGGGCTAGCCATGTGCAGTGCGAACCTAGTACAGCACCTATTAGAAGGTGCAAGTTGGTTGAAGTGGAAGGCTCAAAAAGGGCAAGGGGTAGGCCCAAAAAAACATGGTTGGAAGTAGTGAGAACAGACAAAGGGATTTATGGCCTCACTGAGGGTATCGTCCTTGATAAAGCAGAATGGTGAACTAGCATTCGTATAGCAGACCCCAAACAGTTGGGAAAAGGCTCTGATAATGTCATACATGTTGGTTATAGGATTCACCAATATTTGGTTAATTGCTCTGAAACTATTTGATTATGTAGTACACTAATAATATTTTTCCTTATGTATGTGTGTGAACGTATTTTATTATTGTACAACAACAGGCCGACAGAACAGCATACACCCACAGTAGATTTAATCTTGGCAAAACAAATGGCCATAAATTGATTTGGTTTTTTTTTTTAATAACTCAAATCAAAAATAAAGACAGCAATTCAACGATATTTGGTCAATTCTTTATTTGGATTACTTTTATTATTCTTATTGGGTGTGCCCTATTTTGATGCATGACATTGATTTTGATGATATCTTTAGTCTTGTGGTTAAACCTTGAGCTTAGTTGTATCCCAACTAAGCTAATTGTTCAATCAAGTAGCTTGATGTCAAGAATGTGGTCCTTATTGAGGAAGTTTACATGTGCCAGCCCCCAGTTTTTGTGAACCAGTTCAGCCTGATTATGTCGTCTCCAGAAAGAGATTTATGCACTAAAACAAGTTACACAAGCCTAGTTTCAATGATTTAGCTCCTATCTCCTAAGTTTTGCTTTCGTTGTACTAAGCTTTGTCAAACATGATTCTCGAGGAATCTTGATCTTACTCTTATATGTAGATGGCAGCATGTTAAGTAGGTCTACAATGTGTGACATTAACGGTCCTACTCCTCTCCATACTCGGTTTGACATGAAAACTAGGTGATCTCCACTACTTCTAGATGTGGAAGTTCATGGAATAGATGATACCCTCCGTCTGGCCAAACCCATTTCGAGTCCTACTGTTGTTGGCTCTAAGCCTATCTATACAGAATAGCATCAACTTCCAAATTATTGTTAGTATCGCTTGGTGCTCTTCAATACGCTACAATTGCTCGTCTTGATATTTCTTATGGTGTTAACCAAGCATTGCAACAATTTATGCTTGAACCCACTGCTACACATCCAACTGTTGTTAAACATATCCTGTAGCATTCAGAAGGAACTCCCGATAAATGAGCCTTTTGTTCTCACACTACGTGCATTCTCAGATGCCAAGTGGGCAGGTTGTCCACATGATCAAAGATCAATCACAAGTCTTTGAGTCTTCCTCGACCCAAATCTCATATCATGCTTCCAAGAAACAACGCACGGTATTAAGATTGAGGAGAGTGAAATATTGCTCCATGGCTATCGTGGCTCTTGAAGTAATTGGATACAACATTTACTTTTTGTCCCTGGCGTTTTTCCTTCATATCCACCTACTTTACTTTGTGATAATCTTAGGGCAACTTATCTCGTGGCAAAACCGGTGATACATGCCGGAACAAAGCATATTGAGATCTACTACCACTTCATTCAGGAATGAATGTGCGGCGGTCCACTTTATGTCCAATTTCCCCCACTCATCTTGTGGAGTGTGTAAAGGATAGGGATTGATTGTGTTGTAACCATTGCATTTATTCTTGTAATCATCATAATCTTTTGTAACCTCCCAATTCATATTTTTTGTAACCTCCCAATTCATTTTTTTGTAACATACCAATAAGGGTATGTCATCAGATGGGAGCGAGGCAGCAATGGTTTACAAAAGAAAGAAGATTCAAACGTAAGGAGAGGGTTACAGTTACCAGTTTCTCTCTCAAAGTTTGAAAGAGCTAGAGAAAGAGATGGCTCTAGAGAAGTTGCTCAAGGCTTAAACCAAACCAGTGATGGCTCCACCACCGTCAAACACTGAGCTTTTTGTAGGACTAAACAAAGGCCGTCACCAAAATAGAGATTGTTCCATGCCCATCGGAAAGAAAAAGGGACAAGCAGTAAAGGGAAGTCATGGGCTTTGCGCCACTGAGTTGGTGAAAGTTGGGAAAGATAAAAAGATCAGAGAGAAAGAGATCAGTTAGAGAGAAAGAAGAAAGATATCAGTTAGAGAGAGAGAGAAGTTGGGCATCCAATGTGTAGAGAGAGAGACAAGGAGTATTTTTTTTTTTTTTGTTGAGAGAGAACGGGGAGATATTGCCTTAATGGGTATCCAATGGAGAAAGATGACCTTGAAAGAGGCGTGGGATGAGAGAGAGAGAGAGAGAGAGAGAGATGTGTCAAAAAAAGTTTGACGCACAATTTAAACTTGAAACCTTGAAAAGAGGCGTGAGAGAGAAAGAGAGAGCAGCATCAAATATTTGATGCACAGTTTAGAGAGAGAAAGTGTGCGACAGTTTAGAGAGAGAGTTGTTTGGAAAAGATAAGAGGCATCGATGAGAGTTCGAGAGATCGGAGAGTGGAGAGAGACCAAGAGATAAGAGAGAGATTTGAGAGATAAGAGAGAGAGTATCTGAGTGACCAAGAAAGTGCGAAGACCGAGAAAACAGATAATGAGACTGTGATAGAGAAATGGAGAGAGACTGAGAGAAAATAGAGAATGAGAGAGAACCTCAAGGTTATTGCAGAGTTTTAACGCTAAGACGGGAGGCTAGGGTCGTAGCCAATGTAACCATCATCATCGAATGGGCGAGATGAAGCCCTAGGATCCTCCCCATCATGGCTGAAAGTGTCAAATCCTTACATGTTTCAGGAGAGAGAGACACGGTAACAGAGTGGAGAAAGGCTCTAAACGAGAGATAGAGAGAGGATGGATCGGAGTGCAAGGGAAGCTACAGATCAAGAAGCTAGTCTTGAAATGGGGGAGATGCGGGAGAAAGTGATGATACCCACAGGGAGAGATAGACTGAAAATTTAAGAGACCCGCACACAGTTTGCCTCTTTTGCATAGAGAAAGCTTAGAGACCAAGTTGCAGAGAAACAGAATGAGATAACTGCTGAGCTAGAGATATTATTAGACAGTGAGAGGGAGAGCAAAATAGGATCCTCAGCTTAGAGAGAGAGAGAGATGAAGTTACACGTGATCAGCCGGACCCAGCTTTTAAAGAGAGAAAGTAATACTTGCACCCTGAAATATATGGAAGAAATGTAGAGAGAGATAACCAAATTTGTTAGCAGAGAAAGAAAGAGACTTCGGGCTTTGAAAGAGAGAGAAGAAGGTACAGACGAAATTTTCGGAATGAATATGAGCCAACAACAGGGCAGACGGTCTTGAAATTTCCCGACCTCAAATCTGAGGTTGGCAAACTTAGATCCAAGCCGAGGCGAGGATCTTGAAATTTCCCGACCTCAGATCTGAGGTTGGCGAGCTCAGATCTGAGCCAAGGCGAGGAGTCTATGGCTCTAATACCATGTGAGAAACTCAAAACACTGCGGCAACTCTCTATATATTAAATTCATAAAGAATATATAATACCCCGTATAAATATACGGCTAATAACAGTTTTGGATAGATACTAATAGCTATTGATAATTACTAATTAATACTATCATAATCAAGAGATGCTAGACACCTAATCTTATCAAGAGATGTATACCCAAGAGATATATACCCATACAGTCATACAGATACGTATACGTACAGACACTGATATATATCCGTAATGATGTATATCAATACGCTAACAAGGTCAAGAATACAGCCCCCATGTGCAAACAATTGTAACAGCCCAATGGGCCTTCTCCATATAAGAGAATTACAATTTTGTTTCAGCCTAAGAAAATAAAATTCACATGCGTGCATCCAAACACACACCGCTATACGATACATTGAAATTAAGACTGATAGTGTTACCTATTTGGAAGAAAACTCAGGTTATCTAAATGACAACCCAATGCACGCACAATTTTTTCATCAAAAGACAATCGCTACTGTAAAATCTCCAAGTCCAAAAATAAGAAAAGAAAAAAAGAAAAAAAAAGAAAGGAAAAGAAACATATCGTTGAAGAGTTATAACCAGAAGCTCCACAACACTTCAACTAAGATCCGATGGCCCCAATCGAACTTCCATCTTGTGACAGACAAGTACAAACTCTAGAGCTTTAAAACACAATTCCACGCACCAAAGTAAAAGCCGACAAACCTAATTACACTTTCACTGCCAGAATTCAAATTAGTGGACCATGACAACAATGATACGACACAAATCACCTTAACTTCAAGTAATCTATGGAAATTTAGTTTTCTGAACACAATAGAATTTTATAGTGAGAAAGAGAGGGGGAGAGAGAACCCAATAAGTAAGCAAATGGAAAAAGAGCATGAATACCAAGAGTGGAGTTAGGGTAGAGAGAAGAAGCAGAAGGAAAGTCATCTTCGTCGAATTGCAGAGAACGAGGGACAGTGTTCGAAGCCGTAACTTCCATGGATCTACTCTACTGCAACTCCAATCTCGAAATGAGCACGATCCAACCCTTCTTAACCACTTCCAGCTCTTCCTTCTTAACCTTTTCCAGTTCTTTCACACTCTCTCTTCCCACAAAAAGTCTCCGTTTCTCTTTTTCTAAAGCTGTTGTCCTAAAAGCCTTTTCTCTTTTTGTAAAGCTTTCGTCCTGAAAGGTTAAAGCCACAGCCCTCCTCTCCCTCCAAGTTTTTCACCATCGGACACCCCACCTAATCAGTTTTGTCTCTCTCGGACCATTTTATGGGACTCCACTCTCTCTCTCCCCGGAATATAAGTCCTTCCGCGTATTCTTTCTCCCTCTAAAAAGTTGCCCTCTCTTTATTATAATACGGGAAAAATATATCTATTTTCACAATCGATCCAATGTGTTTTAAAAGGTATCTTGAACCATAAGAATTGTACATTTATTTCTTCTCACTTCTCAAATTAATTTAAACCTCTTTTTAACCCAAATTGTTGGGTTTATGTGACTTTTAAGGGCTTTATAGGAGCTTATATGAACAGTGTATACAGTGAAATATTAACTCAGTAGTGGAATATGCTCCACTTGTGAACTATATTAGGCATATGTAATTGTCGATACTCAGCCTAGGCTTGACGTGTTAGGTCAGTCGAGTGGAAAAAAACCTAAGGTACCTCGGCATAAAGATGAAACCGATGATGGTTTAGTGGGTTAGCCTTTGATGAGGTCGGAATATGCCCGAATGAGAGCCGAGAGACAGTGTGACCCTTGTGTGTGATGAATAGTCTATAAAAATAGGACTAAAACTTTATCGTTGTATCATCACACAATGTGTACATAGATAGACATACTGAGATAGTAATCCACCATTGAAGATAAAGTGTGTACATGTGCGAGAGATTATCCGTATGCGTCTTAGAGACATAGTTGCATCATGATCTGTTGAATCATGGTTTGTCTTTAGGGAAAAACTTGAAATTCACAGATTAGGATTATGTCCCTAATGCATTAATTAACTTTGGCGGTCCAATCATGAGCCCCTGCAGTGGACTGTAGATCATGGGAACTGCTTGGTCACTTTGAAAAAACTAGTGTAGATCACAGTCCACAGTTGAAGGTGGAGTGATCCTATGCGTTGATTAAATCTTAATTCGGATTTGATTCCCGTCAAATTTAATTTAATTTAATTAATTTTATGTTATTTGATTTTTAGAATGTTTATTTGAATTTTTATGAATCTATTTTGTCATTTGGATTTATAAATAAAAACAAATCATTTTCTAAAGTTTTAACTAAACTAAGAGATTTTGAAAAATCTAAAAATCAATTTTTATTGTTTTGAAACATATGGGACCCTCCATAAAATTGGAGGCCTATTTAAATAACCCATGAGTGGCCACCAAAGGGTGGCATACCGCACCCATAGGGAATTGCATTTTCTAGCTAAATATTGTGAGAGGCATCTCATGTTAGTTGGCTTTATGTTTTGGAGAGAAGCCCACTTGCATTAAGAAATGATTATATTGAGTTTTAAATATCTTGTTAATCAAGAATGTTTGATTTGAAAAATAAAGAATGAATATTTATTAATAGAGAAAGTAAAGAGATAATTTATTCATTTAACTTATTCGATGGAAATAAGTTTAGGAAAGGGAGGATAATGTTCGATAACCTTTATTTGCATTTTGATGGTGAATCTAGGAAATGAATGGCTCACATCTCTCACCTCACTAGTCTCATTAGAACGACAGTCAAGATTTGCTCATATGATTTTATGGCAAACCCTAATGCATAAAAAATCTATCATTCTCCTCCATTGTCTCCACACCTCTTACTTACTCTCTCTTCTTTCTAAAATAAAATCTCTCTCTAGCCTCTATAAGGGAAACGCCCCCCATAGGTTACTCTCTCTCTCTCTCTCTCTCTCTCTCTCTCTCTTCTCTCTCTCTCTCTCTCTCTCTCTCTCTCTCTCTCTCTCTCTCTCTCTCTCTCTCTCTTCTCTCTCTCTCTCTCTCTCTCTCTCTTCTCTCTCTCTCTCTCTCTTTCTCTCTCTCTCTCGAACTATCATAAGGAGGGCACGCCCAAGCTAGGCTACGTAGCGCTTCTCTCTCTCACAAACTATCATAAGGAGGGCACGCCTTAGCTAGGCTAGGTTAAGCTTGAATTTCTCCAATGGTTCTAAATCGAGCTAGGTTTTGGTTATGTGATTTTGTAAGTCGCAAAGTGATCATCCCTAACTAGTAGTTTTCTTCTTCCTTTCTTGATTTCTATCTCTCATAAGGATCAAGCCAAGGGGCTTGAATTAGACCTAAGCATTGAGGCTTTATGTGGGTGATTCTAGATTGCGATCCATGTGCATTATTTGAGTTTTGCCATAAGAAGGAGAAATCAAGAGACCGATCAAAGATCCCTGAGCACAATCGGAAGGAGGAGACTCGGCTTGGAGTGTATTAGCCCGATTGAGGTAATCTCCTGCGCCCTATTTTGTTTCTTTCTTATTTATTCATTGTATCTTTTATTGCCAAAACATAGGTTGTGTAATTTTTTTGTTATTGAAAGAAAGATTTTGAATGGCTTCAAATTCTTGAGATCCTATTGTATTCTTTTATATATATATATATATATATGAAGTTATTATATTGTAAAAGGACTACTTGTAAGTGATCTAGACCTTGAAGAAAAGACAAAGAATCGCAAAATAAAGTAAAAAAATTAGTATACACTCCTGCTGGATCGCACGAGTTTTTCTTTCATTGGTATCAAAGTTATTGATACTTGTTGTCATTAGTAGTCTTTTGTTTTTATTTGAGTCTAAATCTTGCATGGGAATAAGATATGGCTGCCCACACTTTTTGTGGTCAAGTGATACACCTCCAGAATAATTATAAGAATATTGAAAGGCGCTCTGCAGAATGAGTATTCTATGCTATTTTGGAGCAGTAATATGAAGAAGAAAATGAGGTATTTTTGTATTGCACACTTCAAAGATATTGTGTGGTTTTTATAGTAGGATCTATTTGTAAGACCCTGCAAAATCCAGGAACTGTCTATTGAGGTCCGTGAATTTTTTTACCGAACATATGATTTTATTTTTAGCTGAAGTTTTACTCTAACTTCTCAAATTGAATATACTTTTAAATGAAAATAGTTTCATGAAGAAAATTCTTGTGGTTTGAAATGGTTCATCTATTGAAGGAAGCACAAGTGTTGTTTTCTGCGACATAAACCGTCTCAATGACTTGGAAATGATTTTATTTTCATTCTTTTAAGACCCACATCAAGTTTTTAGACTTCTATTTTTAGTCTAGGTTCTAATAAAATTTATTTGAGAGAGAAATATCTATGGAAAAAGAGAAATAAATTTTTTTATTGAAGAGAGGTTATCCTGAATTTTCAACAGTTTGGTATGTTATTCGTTGAGACTTATTAAGTCTACTTGACAGAGTGATATGAGGCTTGTGGAAATATATGTTACTATTTTGTGTCTACTTTCAAACAAAATTGGTTTGAAAGGGAAATTTTATGAGGGCAGAGAGAAAAAAAAATTTTATTAGATAGTGAGCATCCTATGATAAAAAATATGATATCTCCCAACTCATAAAGAGTTTACCTCTAAATCCTTTGAATATTGAAATAGATTAAAAAATAAACAATAGTACTTAGTTTCATCCCTAAATCACACTGTTTAGTGGCTCTACGATTAAATGATATTCATGTCACAATACAATTTTCTCAGCAGAAAATCAGGTTGCGCACCTCTCAATAAATATATTTGTTTCTCTCAATTCACAAAGAATTTCTTCTTGAAATTTTTCTATTGAAAACTAGAATAAAAAACAAAGCATAAAATTATGGTGTGAATCCCAAGTAATAATTTCTTAATAGAAATAAATAAGTGACATCCACGTCATAAAATAAATCATACTGTAGAGCAGTAAATTAAAAAATGTGGCATGTTAAGGCACATTTTTTTATTCTTCATAATGGAGACTGTTTAAGAGTCATTTAAAAGTTTTATAATGTGTCATGAGTATGGTTTATAATAGTAAAACTTCAGAGAGAAGTAATACAGAGTTGGTGAGACATGACACTTTATGCGAATAGTGTTCGATTTGGGAATAGCAAAAAGAAGAAGAAACAAAATACTTATAAAAGCATATTGGTTTCTTCAAAATGAAGGGATATATAGAGAGACTAAGTAGCAGCATAGACACGCTAAAGATCAGTAGAAGATTAAATTTGTGATATTTGGAATGATGGGATGACGAAAAGTATTTCTTCACGGTGTGAGAAAGGAAGAGTCCAAGTGTCGAAGAGATGGACACTTCGTAATGCAAAAACGCTGAATAATAAATTCTCTATCAGTTGTGTGCTATTCTAAGATCACAAAAGCTTGTCAACAAGTAAAAACAAATAATAAAAAAAAGCCCAGATACTTAGGTTTGAGGTATGAAAATCTATCCCACATTACAAGGTAAGGTCATACGGAAAGAGGATTCAGTAACCTTGTATTTATGTTTCATATACTTCTTTGGTTATATTTTGGCTATTTGTTTTCTAAATATGCATGGAGTGTATGGACATTAGGTCGATGCTAACAAATTTGAAAACCCAGGTTTATGAATATCTTGTAGTTTTGCGCCCTTTTGTGCTTGAGTATGAATTACTTAAGGTAGTGATACACTTGGAGATGTGGTTTGATCAAGGTTTTGATCTTAAGTATGAAACACAAGAAGTGAGAGTGGTTTATTCAAATATATAAGCACAAAGGAAGTGGTCTGATGGAACTAGGTCTCAGTTACTATCGTTCCAATAATATCCAGTAATATGATATGTTGCATGTAATGATGATCTCTAGATAAAGTCTCCATATTTGTTAAAAAAAAAAATATTTTGTCAAGTTTTAATAACTACTTTTTAGTCAAATTTTATTTTGGATAAAATTATAAGATGATCTTTATGATTTGTTTTGTGGCTGTAAACATGACTTGTAGGTGAGTGCAGTAAATTGGTTTTTCAAGGCTAAGCACGTATTTTAAAATTTGAGAAAAACCTAAGTCTATGAATATAGTTTTGAGAAAATCCCATAGTCTGACAAGGTTAGCTAAGGCTTTATGGAAAATCATTATAAACAGTTATACTATTATCTATTTATTGCTTGTGAATTTATATATATCAAGTCAATAGCTTTTTTATTAAAGAGAAAAACATTGTGCCTTGAATGTATTTAAAAACTTGGAAGAAAACTGTTATTTAG